CTATCCCCTTCGCCTTGAGGAACTCCTCGAGTCTGGAGTGCGTCGCTGGTTTGCCCCGAGCCCTGCATGGATCACCCTCGTCCGAACAGCAGCTTGCCACCACGACTCCTCTCGTGCCTCTGCGCCCGTCGGGCCGCCTCGATGTGCACAGCTGAATCCAACTCCTCTCCCTTCGGCTACACGCAAGAGCGACCCTGGGCAAGAGCGACCGTTGTTGCACGGCCCAGCGGGGCGACGGGGGCCCGAACCCAAGCGCGCAAGCCGCTGCTATCACGTCACACTCGGCGATCCAGAACCCCAGTGGGCCTGCACCAACGGCCACTCTGGCGAAGGGTCACTCTCACACGTAGGCGGGTCACGCCGAGACGAAGACAGTCCCGGGGCGAGGCAGAACGCTCGGGGCGAGTGAGAAAAGCGGACCCTGAGAACAGTGCTCGACAATCCCCCAAGAGCGCAAATCGATCGAACACTTGCGCGCCCGGCCGCTGCCGCCCAAAACGGCCCACGAGGGCCCCAAGACGGCCCCAAAAGGGGCCCAATAAAGGAAACACGAACCGAAAATTCGAGCCTTCCGCCCCAAGAGGCCCCCAAGAGGCCCCACGAGGCGCCCAGGAGGCCCAAGAGGCCCCCAAGAGGCCCAAAAGAAGCCCCAAGAGGCCCCCAAACGGCCTCCAAGAGGCGTCCAAACTGCCTCCAAGGGGCCCCCGAGAAGGCCCCCACGAGATCCCAACGAACATCAAATAGGCTTCAGACCCACAACCCAGGCACGATGGCGGGATGGGCCGAAGGCCATTCGATCCACTTTTTGCGTCGGCCGCCGGACAGGGTAACTGCGCTGGCGGAAGGCGACCTGAACGGGGGTACCGTTGTAGCGAACTGAGCTACCGTGCAGGAGGGGAGGAAAGGCAGAGAGAGCGGCCGACAAAGAGGGCGGGAGGGGAGCGAGCCGCTCAGGGGTGAAGGGGCCCAAGAACACACAAATAAATACACACAAATAAAATTATCCCCCATATTTTCCCATATTTTCTGGGTTTCTGTCTTCCACCCCACTTCCCATATTTTCGCATATTTTCCTGGGAATCGACGATTAATTGTGTCTGTGTGTTTTTTCCCCTCCTGAAGGGGGCGGGTCACGCCCCGAGCAGGTGGCGCGGTCGGCCCCGCCGGCGGGCCCCGCCGGCGACGGCTGCCCACAACTGTGGCCTACATCCGCCGCCGTGCCTCGAGGCGCGGAGTGGAGCGTCCCCCAGGCTTCTCGAGGTCCCTGTACTCAGTATTGTCGGGGAGACGTAAGACCCGGGTACGGGGGACTCGGAAATCCCCGACGAGGTCGTCAAAAAAATGACGAGGCCGAGCCTGCATTTTGACGAGGCCTCCCGCTGCGGACATCCCACGAAACTCCTCCTCGTCAAAATCCGAGTCGCGGTCGTCAAAAAACGATGGCAAACCCGAGTCCCGGCAAACCCGGGTCTTACGCTCCCCCGATATTGATATTGAAGTCTTCGAATTGATACGGGCGGGGAGGCAAAAAATCTCACATCTTCCGGGCGCTCTCGCGCTGTCTCGGACTTCCCCGCATGGCTTCTCCAGGGGCCAGAGGACCCAGCAGACAGACCAACAGGGCCCCAAGAAGTGCCCAAGAGGGCCCAAGAGGCATCCAAGACAGCCCGACAGCGCTCCAAGACGCCCAGGATGGCCCCAAGACGGCCCGCAAGACGCCCCAAGAGTCCTCGAAGAGGCCGCCAAACGTCGGCCCCGAATCGCTGAGAATATTGATTTTCCCGAAGGTGATTGAAGGATTTTGGTGTTCTCGCACGCTCCAAGACGGCCCAAAACGGTCCCCAAGATCGCCCCAAGACGGCTCGATAGGCCCCAAAGAGCGCCCACAGACGGCCCAAGAGATGGCCCGACACAGCAAGACGGCCCAGGAGGCCCCCAGCATGGCCAAGTAGAGCTCCAAGAGGGCCCAAGAGAGGACCCAGAGTGGGAGCACGAACCAACATTTGGAGCTCTCCGCCCCAAGATGGCACCCGAGACCGCCAGCAGGCCCCCAAAAGAGCCCCCCACAAGCTCCAGGAGGCACCCGAGAGGCCCCCAAAGAGACCCCCGACAGGCCCCCAGGACGCCCCAGGACCGAATCCGCAAGGCCACCGAGAGGCCTCCTCAGAGGCATCCCCAGAGGCATCCCAGAGGCCCCTGGCCCACAGCCCACGCACGGAGGCAGCACGGGCCCAGACTCGCAGGCCCCAGACTTCCGACCTCGGCCGGGATGGCACGAGGGGGCTCGAGCCGACAGCAGGGCCCCACCGTCCCCGCCCTTGGGGAAACAAAAAGTGGCATAAACACAAGAACTCGGGGGTCCGCGCGGATTTCTCGGATCGGCGCTGGACCCCCCTCCCTGGCGCGCGGAGCGCGCCAGGGGCGGCGCCGGAGGCGCCGCCGGGGGGCCCCAGCGCCGATCCGAGAAATCCGCGCGGACCCCCGAGCTTTTATGTTTATGTCGCTTTTTGCTCCCCTCGCCCTGCCCCTCCGCGCACGGGCCGCCGCGCGAGCTGCCGGCCCGGCGCCGGGCGGCGGCTGCCGCGCAGCCTCTCCGCGGGGAGCGCCGCCGAGCGCCCCGCCGCCAGGGGAGCTCGGGCCTCGCCCCCCGCCGAGCGCTGCCGAGCCCCCCCCGCCTCGCTCGTCGAGGCACGCTGCCGGGCACGAGGCGGATCGCTGAGGGGCCCAGCCATGCTCGCGGCGCGAGGCAGATAGGGGGCCCCTTCACACGCGCAGAGGGGCCCCTTCACACGCGCAGAGGGGGGGGTACGGTGAGGGCTTATGCCAGGAAGCACCCTGCTTGCCTCCGGGGTGCCCTGGGTTTCTTGGGTTTCGATAGGGGGCCACATGCGAACCCTACGCCTACCCCCCACGATTTCTGAGGGGGGAGGGTGGGGTTCGCTTCGCTCGGGAGCTCCCGAGCGAAGCGAGCCCCACCCTCCCCCTCAGAAGTCGTGGGGGGCAGGGGTAGGGTTCGCATGCTGGAGGCGGACAGAAGAACACGGAGTCGTTGTGTCCGCGGGCCCCGCGAGCGCCCGGGGGCTGGTCAAGCAGCTCAGAGGCGCCGGGCAACTGCTCAGGCCCAGCAGCGAGGCGGCCAGAAGCGGGCCAGAACGGCCGCGGGGGGGGAGGAGCCACGGAGGAGAACTCAGACCGTCTGGGTTTAAGTCGGGCGTGTCCCCCTACAGGGGGATTTTCGACGAAAAATGAAAAATACCCCCCAAAAAATACCCCCAAAAGGTCAAAAAAATACTCCAAAAAATAATCCCCAGACTATTGTTTGCTATTTTTTGGGCTATTTTGGGGGTATTTCCTATTTTTCGTCGACAATCCTCCTGTAGGGGGACAGGCCCGACATAAAGTCCTTCGTCGGCACGTGGCGGGAAAACACACCGGGGGTTTTTGGCCGTTTCCGGCCTCGGAAGGCCCACGCCGGGCCCTGGGACCGTCAAGGAAAGACGCGGGTAAAGTCGGGCCTGTCCCCCTACAGGTGGATCTTGGACGAAGAATGAAAAATACTGGGAATCCCGCACTGAAAAAACAAGGCATCGGACGCGTGGGGACTAACAGATTGATGGGTGAGGGTCTGAGGGGACGCTCAGTCCCCCCCATCGCCCCTTCCTCTCCGCCTCGTCTCCCTCGCCGAAAAGGCGGGATCCTCGGCTTCGCTCGCCTCATCACCTCGTCGACGTACCCGTCGACGTAGCTCCTGGCCTTCAGGGCCGCCTTCGGGCAGCTCCCCAAGCGCTTGGGAAAGGCCTCGAAGAAGACCCGCCAAATCACGGTTCCGGTTTGGGTTCCAGTTCTGGTTACGGTTCCCCTTCTTTTTCTCGGCCAGGCTCTGGTTTCGATTCTGGTTCTGGTTCCGCTTTACTTCTTCTCCGCCCCGAAAGAGCCTCCGGTCAAGGTTTTGGTCCCGGTTCCGGTTCTGGTTTCTTTCTTCTTCCGGGCTCGAAGAAGACCCCCGAGGTCACGGATCTGTTTCTGGTTCCGTTTCTGATTGTGGTTATGGTTTTCTTCCTCTTCTTCCATGAGTCCTCGCGGGTATGGTTCCAGTTCTGGTTATGATTCCTGTTTCGGTTTGGCTTTGTCTTATTCGGGCGCTCTTTGGTTCCAATATTGGTTCCCATTATAGTTCTGGTTCTGGTTCAAGTTCTGGTTTCCTTCTTCACTCTGCCGATGAAAACCCCCGAAACAACCACCACACCCACACTCCTCCTTTTCCCTCCTCCCTTCTCCCTCCTCCGTCCACCTTCCCCTCCTCCTCCTCCTCCACCTCCTCCTCCTCTTCCTCCTCCTCCTCCTCCTCCTCTTCCTCCCTCCTCCCTCCTCTCCCTCCCCCTCCTTACCCTCCCTCCTCCTCCTCCTCCTCCTCCTCCTCCTCCTCCTCCTCCTCCTACTCCTCCTCTGGTTCCTGCCCCATCCTCTCCCTCTTGGGTTAGGGTATGACGGCTTCCCAGCCTTCATTTCGCTGCGTGCTCCCCCACATGCCTGATCTGTGCTACTCACCGAGTCATCGCTTCTGGATGAGATGGTGGGATTACGCGAAACGTCTAGAGTAGAGAGAGAGAGAGATAGAAAAAAGAGAGAGAGAGAGAGAGATGGAGGGAGAAGGAGAGGGACACTTGGGACGTTCTGCTGAGCAAGGCGTGCGATGAGGCGGGGGGGGGGGAGGACAGAAAGGGGCCAGCGGCGGAGGGAGGCGGGCGGAGAAGGTTCACACAAGGCTCCTCGGAGAGCGCGAGGGCTTCTGAGAAACGCCGCCGCCTCCTGCGAAGGCCTGCCCCCGCACGCGTCCCCCCCCGGGCTCGCCGCCGAAACGCGCAGAAAGCGAGTGAAAGCAGGTCGCTAGAGCGCACGGAGACGAAAGCAAGCCATCAGGCAAGCGCGTTCCACTACTCGCAAAGTAGCTACTCGCAAATGGCCTGGATCCGCCGCAGGGGATTTACGATACATTACATAAAAAGAAACAGTACGGTTCTTCAGACGTTTGCGAGTAGGCACTCTGCGAATAGTGGAACGCGCTCGGCGAGGGCCGTCAGGATCTCGATTCTGCCGACGCGGGGTGATTGTAGCCGGCTGCCGAAGCCTGGCAGGCGACGACGGCGAGCTGGTTCACGTCGTAGGGACCGCGAACCGCGCTGAGGGCGTTCACGTTCTCCTGGGAGAGGAACGGTCACACTGCGAGCGAAGATACGCCACCGTGCTGCGAGACATGAGTTGGAATGCCCTCAGGTTCCTTGTGCCTGAACATCAAGGAAACAAATATGGCTGGGTTTCGCCATCGCCAGTCAGGAAGGGAGAGAGGGAGGCGCGAAACGGCGTGCTAAATGCTGGATTGGTTTGATTTTTTTTCTGCAGGTTCCCAATGGCCTTCGGCCCAACCCGCTGACCACCCGGAAAGACCTGCAAGGACCCGCAAGAACGCGCAAGGATGGGAAAAACCTGGAAAATCCTCTCCGATACGGCCAAGATGGATCCAAGATGGCCTCCAAGATGTCTACAATACGGCTAAGATGGCCCCGAGAGATCCCAACATTGCATCGGCGCTACGAAAGTGTTGACCCGCTTCGTGCTTCCATCAAGACACGCCTTAGGCGGGAGCGCCATTGCGAACTCGAGCTGAAGAGGCGCCGACCTCTATTTTCGAGGAAGTCCTGGGCGGGGGCACCATGTCGAAAACGAACCCAAGGGTGTCGAATTCCAGTTTTCATGAAGTCCTGGGCGGGAACGCCATTTCGAAATCGGCCGAACTGTGTTTCGGAGGAAGTCCTGGGCGGGAGCGCCATTTCGAAATCGAACCATCAAGGCTTCGAATCCCACCACCTCTTTAGGGCGTCGGTGGTCTAGGGAGCTTCCTCTTCGAATGCCCTTGTTTCGGGGAGGGGTTTACCCCATCCCGGACCCCCTCACCTGGACCTGGACGGGGGGTTCCGCGGGTAGTTGAAGCGTCCAAAACGGCCTCGGCGAGGAAGCCAAAATCACGGATTTTACTCAGGTTTTGGCCCCATGTTGGCCTCATGGGCAAATCGGCCGATATGGCGTGTGAGTTTGGAAAAATCTCAGCTACAGCCTACTGAGTTTCAGCTCTGCTGGGTGGGGGGGCCGGGGGGGCTCTGCCCGGGAAGGGGGGGAGGGGGCGGGGACGAGTTGTGGTCCGCGTTCTGGGGGGGGTGCCCAAGACGGGCCAAGGGGGCCCCAAGACCCCCCAAGACAGCCCCAGGAGCCTCCGAGACGCCCAAAGAGCGCTCCAAGACGCCGAAAATGACCTCCAGACGGCCCAAGAGGCCGCCGAGACGCCCCAAGAAGCCTCTCCCAAGGGCGCGGGCCCCAAGAGGTGGCCATGAGGCCCAAAGAAGCCCCCGAGAGGCCCCCAGGATGCCCCCAAGAGGCTCCCAACAGACCCCCAAGAGGCCCCAATAGGCCCCCCAGAGGCACTTGCCAAGACGCTCCAAGAGGCCTCGGCGAGAATACCAGAATCATTGATTTTACCAAGGTTTTGGCCACATGTTGGCCTCCTGGGGGGAGGGGGGCACTGATTGAGATGACTCCAGGAACGCCTGGGAGAGCCCAAGATGACCTCCAAAATGGCTCAAGATACCCCAAGATGTATCAATTATCCCGGCAAAGCAACCTAACAGCGATGTGTAGGAGCATATCTGGAAGCATTCCCCTTAAGATTCAGATGAGAATCCAGTTGTAGAATTGTGCTGTTCTCGCAGTCGTAGTCGCATTCGCGATGACAGTCGCAGTGGCAACGGCAGTCACAGACACAGCCTCAGCCTCAGCCTGCCTCAGCCTCAGCCTCAGCCTGCCTCAGCCTCAGCCTGCCTCAGCCTCAGCCTCAGCCTGCTTCAGCCTCAGCCTCAGTCTGCCTTCAGCCTCGGCGTCAGCCTCAGGCTGCCTCAGCCTCAGCCTGCATCAGCCTCAGCCTCAGCCTCAGCCTGCCTCAGCATCAGCCTGCCTCAGCCTCAGCCTCAGCCTGCCTCAGCATTCAAAATGTGGCCCGGGAATGTAGTTCTGGGAACTCGAAGAACACGAAGTGGCCTACAGTTGGCTCCGGGCATTCAAATTCATGCCCAGGAATGGAGTTCTGGGAACTCGAAGACCACGAAGTGGCCTACAGTTGGCTCCGGGCATTCAAAATGTGGCCCGGGAATGGAGTTCTGGGAACTCGAAGACCACGAAGTGGCCTACAGTTGGCTCCGGGCATCCAAAATGTGGCCCGGGAATGGAGTTCTGGGAACTCGAAGAGCACGAAGTGGCCTACAGTTGGCTCCGGGCATTCAAAATGTGGCCCGGGAATGGAGTTCTGGGACTCGAAGACCACGAAGTGGCCTACAGTTGGCTCCGGGCATTCAAAATGTGGCCCGGGAATGGAGTTCTGGGAAGTCGAAGAGCACGAAGTGTGTCACTGTTGCATCCGGTTATTCAGAATGTGGCCTGGGAATGGGGTTCTGAGAGGTCGACGAACACGAAGTGTGTGACTGTTGGTGAAAAACGAGCCCGGCACAGGCCCGGCACCCTGCCGGCCGGCAACTCCCAACGCCTGCCCGGACCCCCCTGTGGAGTGATCTGTGAGCTCTTTTGAGTCAACTAGAAACCTATCAGTCTACGCTGTTAGGTAAAATGGTTCCCACGATGCTCCAAGATGCCCCAAGACCGCTCCAAAACGGCTCTGAGTGGCCGAAGAGCTCCCCCAGGAGGCCCCGAAGAGGCCAAAATCCTTCCAAAACCTTCGGGAAATCAATGTTTTGGGTGTTCTCGCCTTTTTCGCTTCCGAGGGCTATCCGAGGTCTCAGGATGGCTCCAAGATGGCCCAAGAGGGCTCCAAGAGAGGCTCGAGACAGCCCCGAGACGGCCCCAAGAGCGCCCAAGAGCGCCCCAAGAGCGCCACAAGTGACGACTTGTTGGGCTCCCGAGGGGCAACGCTAGTTAATGTTCGTTTCTTGTTTGATCGATGTCCTCCAAGATGGCCCCCAGAGCGCTCCCAAGAGCGTTTCAAGAGGGCCCCAAGAAGCGCCCAGGAGGCCCCAGGAGGCCCCAACAGGCGCCCAAGAGGCCACCAAGAGGCTCCCAAGAGACCCCCAAGAGGCCCCATGAAGCTCTCCGAGGCACCCAAAACGCTCTAAGAAGCGCCCGGGACCGCCAAGAGACCCCCAAGACGCTCCGAGAGGCCTCCTCTGGGGGACCCTTCCTCTGCGTGCTCCCCACTTCCCTCATCGAGGCAATTCCCCTGGGCATCGTTTCTGCATGGGCTGATGGGGTTACCTTTGGGTCCGCGGGCGCGCGAAGACGAGTCGAACGCCGAGCATGCCAGGGCGGGCCGCGCTCCACAGCAAAGGGAAAAACAGTGAGGCGAGCGACAACCAGCAGGCAGAAGGGAAGTACAGCAGTACCTCCTGGCGCGCGAGCGGCTCCCGGAAGAGCGTGCCGAAGACGAAGAGCACGAAGACCAAGGGCGGAGCCACCCTTGCCAAACGAGAAGAACTTGAAGCACCCCGAAAGTACCAGGCGAGTGGTGGACGCAGCCAAGATGGCGCGACACAGCCAAGACGCGGAGGAAGAGGTGGCACACCTTGCCGTACGGGTAGAACTTCACCGTGCGCGAGCACAAGAGTGGGGACGCAACCAAAATGGCGCGGGAGAGGGCCCCTCAACAACCAGGATAACCGGGTAGCGGTGCCGCACCATGGGCACCCCGAGCCAGTCGGCGAAGACACGGTCGACGCAACCCTGAGGTAGACAGAAGCGACATGGTCGTACACGTAAGACCGTGGGCCACACCTGACCAGCGTCGGCAGGTCACCCGAGTAGCCGCATGCGGCGCATACCCGAGGGCAGGAGACAGGGACAACCAGGTACAGATAGGACGTGAGGTCGACCGTCACGACCAGCGCCGTGCGCCCCGCGTGCGCGAACTCGGGGATCTTCTGACCCGGGTCAATCCAGACCCGGGTCAGCAGGAAACCAAAAAACTGAAATGCAGGAGCAAAAACTGCAACGCAGGTCTTCGCAAACCCGGGTCAGCCAATATGCGCGGCCGCCTCGCGGCCACGAGCGGCTCGCTAACCCGGGTCAGCCAAGAGGGGGTCTTCGCAGGATCCTGCAGGATCCGGTGCCCTGGCTGACCCCCGTTTGCATTGACCCCCGTCTCGAGGCCCCCGACGAGCCCAGAGAGGACCGTGCAAGTGAGCGCCGCCCATCAGGTAGCCCGAGGGTGGAGCGGCGGGTGGCCATGCGGAGGCTGGCGCCCGCAAGTGCCTACCAGGGGGGACCGTGACGCCTTGGGCGAAGGGGGCCACTGGCAGGAATGGGGCAGATTCGTCCAGCCAACCGACATGAACCCTTGCGGCCATCACGTGGTGGGGCGGACGGAAGGCTGATGGGGCTACTCTTTAGTCAGCGGCCGCAGGCGAGAGCGCCAGCGGTGAGTCCAGTCAGAGCGGGCCGCGCACAGACGAATTAACCTAAAGCGTTGGGCCACTGATGGGTTTTTTTTGGGTCGGCGGCTCCAAGGCAACGGTCAAGGAGCGAAAGCGGCGTCCGGGTGGCGGAACGGAGCGAATTTGCGAACAGAGCTGCCAGTGTCGGCGGACAAGCTCGCATCCGCAAGAAAAACTCGCAGTTACACATGCACAGAACAAAATGAACTAAATCCACAAGCAAAGGCACATAGGCGCAGCAGCGTGAACCGAAGTAAACGGGCTGCCGAAAAGAATGTGCGGAGGCAACGGAGTGAGTCGCCGGGGCGGCGCCAGACTCCATGCCGACCTGCACAAGCCGAACGGCTGTGCGGCGTGACCGAGACAGTGCGCGGGGGAAGACCAAAGGCTGCACAGGCGTTGCAGGCTGAACCACACAGCGCCCGGTCTTCAGAAATCCGCCTCACAGCCGGGGAGAGCCAGCGGCAGCCCAAGGCGCACCGTGTTGCCGACACCTGAAGCGGAGAGGTCCACTGGCGTCCGAGACAGTGCGCGGGGGAAAACCAAAGGCTGCACAGGTGTTGCAGGCTGAACCACTCAGCGCCCGGCCCTCAGAAGCTCATCTCCCAGCGCCGAGGGGAGCCAGCGGCAGCCCAAGGCGCAACTGTGCTGCCGGGTCCTGAAGCGAAGAGGTCCGCAGGCATGCAGCACCTCCGTCGGGTGGTGAGGGTCGGCACATGGGTGGTGGAGGCGCCTGCGCTGCCTGCCAGGGGGGGTCCTGCTGAAGTGAGGCTGAAGTGGCCAGCCACCCCAGACTGTCGCGTGGCGCTGCCCGTGAGCTCAAGCGTGGTCACACACTGATGGGGTTACTTTTTGTATCTGCGGCCCGCAAGGAAGAGTCCAGAGGGCGGGTCAATCGGGCTGACTGGGGCACAGAGCCACTGATGGGGTTACGCGAAGCGTCTAGAATTCTAGTTTGGATGAAGTCTCGGGCGGGAGCGCCATTTCGAAATCAAACCCGAAAAATTCGAAATCGTTCGGAATTGTTGTTATAGGAAGTCTCCAGCGAAACTGTCGTTTCGAAATGACCTCACCGCTTGGCATTTATAATTCAAAATTTCTGACCAGAGATTTCGAAGGTGTGGCTTTCGCTTGAGACTGCCTCCAAAAAACAGTTTCGAACGATTTCGGAACTCTCGGGATCGATTTCGGAACGGCGCTCCCACCCAAGACTTCCTTCAAAAAACGATCTCGACTGGATTTCGAAACCATCGGGTTCGAATTCGAAAGGGCGGTTCCGCCCGAGACTTCAGCAAAACAATGCTTGGACAGAATATTGTACTTGGGCCCCGCGGCCTAACGGGCCCCGTTGACGTCTCGTCCCTTGTCACGGGCGGAAGGCCACTGACAGCGTCGTACCAGGGCCCCGTCGCCGTACGGGAGGCGCTGCATTTGGGCCGAACTTTTCGAAGCGGCGAAGTCCCAAGACGCCTCCAAGACGGCCAAGATGGCCCTAACACAACCCGAGATGTCCTCCAGACGGCCCGGGAGGCCCCCAAGACGCCACAAGGAGGGCCCCAAGAGGACCTCCAGAAAGCCAAAATCATTGACTTGTCTTGGCTGTTTCGATGGTTTTAGCGTTCTCGCATTGTCGGGCTTCCGGTGCTCAACGATGGTAGGCCATCATGACCAGGGCCGACCAGCCGTGTGGGTGGGGAGGGCAACTTCTGAACGACTCTTTCCTGCCTCGAGAACTGGGGACTCGGGGGGAGGAGGAGGAGGACCCGGGCGAGGGGGGGGGAGTGAGGAGGAGCAGGAGCGGCACGCGGAGCTGGAAGAGGAGCGGGAGGCAGAGCACGGAGAGGAGAGGACCGGGGACGAGCAAGTGCTCCGCGAGGCACGCCGCACAAGCATGCCCCAGAGGTATGATCAATAGAGGTCAAAAATCCACCCCCATAATAACCACCCCGACACGCGAAGTCGTTTAGTAAACGCGCCCACAGATGGAATCGAACAGGGTAAGGCTGTTGATTAAACTCGATGATCCTCAGAACGTGTCTTAACGCCAACGTGTGTTTGTCCATCGAGGCCCTTCGATACGACGCAGGCGACGTAATGCTCTATCGGCTGGGCTAAGCGGGATAAACACACATTGGGCTAACACACGTCCTGAGGATCATCGATAAACGCCCAGCGCCGTTTAGTAAAGGCCAGTGATCGGGTCCGGGTGGTTCTTCCTCCCTTGAATATAGTAAGCCGAGGCCCTCGCTGTTCAGGCAGCATTCCCCGACCAGCACAGAGGACCTTGAAGCGCTTGGGCTGTTACTCGACGCCATGAGGGATTTGTGCACCCCTGGATCGTTTCGAAAGGCCCTGGGTCCCTCGGTGCTCAGAGATAGACGACAAGCGAAGAACGCTCGATGCTCAAGAAAGGCCTGGCAAACCGCCTGGACCGTGCCTGTCACACCAACTAGGATGCTCCCCGTTCTTCTCCTCCCAAAATTCACTACCTCGTCGAGCTTGTGCGCAGCACTGCCTCTACAACCCAGATCACCAAATGCTGTGGATGCCGATGCCTGGAAGGACGCAGGATAATAGTTCCAAGTACCGCTCAAGCGCCAGCACGGTGACAGCGATCGAAGGTGCCCGAGCCTTCGCGCTCATGAGGTAGCCCATGCGCAGGGAGGGAATGCCCCAGGTCTTCGAGAAGGTGCGGCACACAAAGAGGTTCGGCAGGCTGGCGACCTGATGTGCCAAGCATGTGCACCCCATTCGCGGCCACGCGCGCGGCTGGACACCTCGAGACGCTCGGAAGCAAAAGCTCAGCGAGAGCAGTTGCCACGGCTCGTTTTGCTCGTTGGACAATAGAACAACAAGGGTCAGCAGGGCCAGTGGAGCACAACATGGCAAAGTTGCATTGGCAACCGCTGCCATTGAGCTGCAAGTCCTGCCTGTGCTGCTGCCGACACCGCTCCTGTTGCAAGGCTACGTCTCGTTGATCGGGCTGGCGTGGAGGGGATGCTCTCACAGAGCCTGGAATGGAGAAAGCGAAGCCTGACCCAACCCGTGCCCCCGAGGTACGACGTGGGTCGCCCTTCGATGAACAAAAAAAACGAACGTGAACTTCTGGAGCTCCGCGCTGATTTCTTGGATCGGCAGTAGGCCCAGGCTCCCTGGCGCGCGGAGGGCGCCAGGGGCGGCGCCGTGAGGCGCCGCCAGGGGTCCAGCGCCGATCGAGGAAATTCCTCGGAGCTCCAAAAGTTTGTGCTTATCCAGCTGTTCCTTCTCCTCTGGTACTTATGCATTGGCAGGTTGGAGACGTCGAGGATTGCTCAGGGCCGCGGCTCCCACGATCGGTCGGAGGCTCGTCGAAGCGGGGGAGGGGGGCCGAAGTTGGTCGCGAGAACGGTTCCAATGTACCATATGCAAAAGAGGGAGCACAGTGCCCCACGTAGGCTCAACAAGGCTCCAAGAGGGGCCGATATGGACTGGTCTCCAGCACCACCCATAATGGCTGAGTCATTGGCTCTGACTCCGAAGGTAACCCCCAAGATGCCCTAAGATAGCTCCAGGATTGAACCAAGGAGGCCCTGGAGCCTTCGACAGAGGAGTCGGAGAGGCCAAAAGTATAAAAACACACAAACATACATCACATGGTGTTGGTCTTGTCTGTTTTTCTGCCTCAGGCTGACCTTAGACGACTCAATATGACCCCAATATAGCGCCAGACGGCCCAACGAGGGGCACAAGAAGAACCCAAGAGGGGCCTTAGACGACCCATGCTGGCCACAAGAGTGCCCCAAGAGCTCCCCACGAGAGCCCCATAGAGGCGTCCCAAAGCTCCCAGAGAGCCCCCGAGAGGATCCTTAGAAAGGGTTGGCAAAATAACCCGCGGAACACGACTTCCGAATCCGCGCCCCCCACCCCACCCCATGCAGTACAGCCCCCAGACCTCCCAAATGCCTCTTCTTAGGAGCCCCCAGAAGGCCTCTGTAAAGCCAACAATTGGTCGCCCAGACGCCCCCAAGCTAGGGCTCCCAACTTCGCGCTTCGCGCTGCGCGAAGCGCGAAGCGCGAATAACTTCGCGCTCTCGCGCCGCCCTCCCAAAAGGAGAATAGGAGGACGAGGAGGAGGGGGAGAAGGAACGAGGACCGCGAAGCGCGAAGCGCGAATAACTTCGCGCCCTCGAGGGAGCCCTTGCCCAAGAGGCGAGGCAACAGCCGTGGAACATGATGACCAGGAAAGACGGAGCACGTGGCAGAGGGCGAGCACGGCCTCATCGCCGCGCCGACGGCGACAGCTCCGCCCTCGGAGACGAGAGCCGCTGGGCACGCCCCCTGGTCCACGTGTCCTTTTGTTCCACAGCGAAACGATCGGGGAGACGTAAGACCCGGGTACGGGGGACTCGGGTTGGCCCGACGAGGTCGTCAAAAAAATGACGAGGCCGAGCCTGCATTTTGACGAGGCCTCCCGCTGCAGACATCCCACGAAACTCCTCCTCGTCAAAATCCGAGGCGCGGTCGTCAAAAAATGATGGCGAACCCGAGTCCTGGCAAACCCGGGTCTTACGCTCCCCCGACCTTTTGTTCCACAGCGAAACGACAGCGCCAACCCGCGTGACAGCAGCGTGAAGAACCGGATCGCGGGGCAAGCCAGCAACGCAGCGCGCAGGGAGACGCAAGCAAGAGCCAGCTCGCCTCGCCGGGCCCCTCTGATGCACACGGTCGCCCGACACCGCCACCGGGGGAGGCCGGGGGGGAGGGGCTGCCCGTCCCGCAGGGAGCGATAGACCTGGCTCACGGCAGTGAGGAGCAACCGCTGGTGGGAGGAGACAGCGCGGAGAGCCCCTGCCCCCGACAGCTCGAGGCACGGGGGGCCACATCGCGCGCACGCCCGAGCGGCCGAGCAGGGAGGAGCAACCGCTGGTGGGAGGAGGCGGCGCGGAGAGGGACAGGCCGTCCCGGCATTCCTGTAGGCCTACAACGACATGCTCTTAGAACACGAGCATGTTCTAAGAACAGAAACCCTATGTCTTCAGACAAGACCGCGTCCTCCCGATATGTTCTATGAACATCCGTTGATGGGCATCTAGGCAAGCCAGAACGCTTCGCCCCTGCTTGATCTGGGAGGCCTAGCTTCTCCGCAGGAGGAAAGCGAAGACCCGCAGGAGAACGTGCTGGGCCGGCTGCGGAAGCGAGGGTAGCAAATACGGGCTGGACCCTCGCCGACACGGCGGAAGTCTCAGACGAACCTGCCTCCAGGGGAGCCCACGTCGTCGCGACACACTTGGGGCACCGCGTGGTCCTGCCGAGCTGCGAAAAGCATCGGCAGCTCCCCCCCACCCACTCTTCCTCGCCGTCCTCCCCCTCCTCCCCCTCTTCCTGCTCCTCCTCCTCCTCCTGCGCCTCCTCCTCCTCCGCATCGTCCTCCTCCTCCTCCTCCTCCTCTCCTCCTCCTTCCTCCTCGCCTCCTGGTCCTCCTCCTCCTCCTCCTCCTCCTCCTCCTCCTCCTCCTCCTCCTCCTCCTCCTCCTCCTCCTCCTCCTCCTCCTCCTCCTCCTCCTCCTCCTCCTCTACATCTTCCCCCTGGCCCTCGCGACAAGCTTGGGGCACCGTGTGGCCCTGACGAGCTGCACGGAGGCTGGGCAGCGGCCCGACAGCTGGGGGAGGCCACGGCGCGGCATATGCGTGGCGACGACGGAACCGACTCAAGCAACAGTTTTTGATTCGCGGGTCGAGGTCGTACCTCTTCCGGTCGAAGCTAAGCGGGCCGCGCGAAGCTTGGATTAACCAGAGATGGGGAAGGAAAAGGGGGGCGCAGCCTCAGAACGAAAAACGATTCAGGCAACAGGGGCCAACAGGTCTGAAACTTGAGGCGGCAAAAGCGAAGAGTAGGTCTCGCAGCCCTGGTCTGACCCAACATGGTGCGTGGATCTCGTCGCCACGTGCGGAACAGTGCGGCACCGGAGGCAGGCCACAGGGCCTGCCACGGAAGACGCCGTGCTTGCCACAGCGAAAGGATGCGTGAAAGCTTGTGTCGCCAACAGAACACCTCATTTGAACAGCGATTCGAGCGGTGATTCACCCCCTCCGTCGGAGACTACACGTCTGGACCATCGACGGCCAGACTGCACGCCTGGGCGGTCTGCTTCTACACCACTGAACACTGGGAAGCCTGCACATCCCTTGCCCAGTCCCTGCCAGGCGCTGCTCCTCGAAAGCACGGCCTGCAGTCTTGTGCAGGAAGCCTGCCTCCCTCCTCCCGCCTCACTCCTACAGCATACGCCTGGCTTCCACATCCATCCTGCACTCGCCGTCCACTCCTTATCTCGCGCCCCGCCTCATCCTTCACTGTCGTCGCTGGGTCCATGAATTCGTAGTAGCACTCGTCGACAAGGATGGCGACCTGATGCTGCCAGAGTCAGCGTGAACCAATCGGTCGCAGCCCCGGCGACAAGAAGATTAGCCAAAGTCAGATCACTGGTCAGACCGCTCTGATCATCAGCTCCCCTCCCCATGCACGTCGCGTCGCTGGTACTCCTCCACTAGAGCAATGTTGCTAGTCCAGGCTGGACCGATGGGCGAAAGCATTTCTGTCACCCCCGTCCTTGCTTGCTTGCTCACGCGGTTCGGAGGAGGACGGTATGACTCTCTGTGAGTCGCATGTGGGTAACTCTCTGTGCGTCGCATGTGGCTAATCCAAAAATCTGGAGCGGACAAAGAAGTGGCACTGCGAATCGGCCACGAGCAGTATCAGCAAACGCTGCCGCTGCAGCAGTAGGATCAGCGGACGCGGCCGCGGCAGTGTAAGTGGCGGCAGCGGCAGCGGTGCAACAGGGGCAGCGGCAATAGCCGCAATCGGAATGCGATCCACGCCCGTCCCTAGCGGCTCCACTTAACGCCTGCGATACTCTGGCATCCTGGATGGGATGAAGGGCCCTGTGAGCTTGTGCCAGCCAGGGGGGATAGAAGACGCGGCATGTTTAAATTCAAAAATGCTGCGACTCAGAGTCGCCAAATCATCTTCCGGCAAAGGCGTTGCGTTCTACATGGTACGAGGCTGTGCATCTATCATGTGCGAATGAGCAAGCGAGGCTCAAGCCAAAGCATTCAAACACGTATGTTCTGGCCCTCGACGGACAGCTAATGCTTTCTGCTGTTCGAACATCCAGTCATGCACTTCTACGTGCGCATGCATACGTGCGGCAGCCAAGAAACTCCCAAACTGCACCACCACCCGAAAACAAGATAGACAGGACAACTCGTGCAGCGCATTACTCGGATGACCCCCTCCTCCGAACTGATGGATCAGGCCAAGCACATCGTGACCTTGGGGCACTTCCGCGCAATCTCGAGTATGGACTCCCTGGGGATGTCGGTGCCTGCCACCCGCCAGTGACATCCAAGCGCATGTCAACCCTCACATTCCAATGTCGACCCCTCCTCCCCCACACCACCTGCACACCCTCGGATCTAGGATCTAGGGGAACAAGAAGTGGCATAAACATAAAAACTCGGAGGTCCGCGCGGATTTCTCGGAACGGCGCTCGACCCCCCTCCCTGGCGCGCGGAGCGCGCCAGGGGCGGCACCGGAGGCGCCGCCAGGGGGCCCGAGCTCCGATCCGAGAAATCCGCGCGGACCTCCGAGCTTTTCTGCTTATGTCATTCTTCGTTTCCTAAATATCAGCCTCCCAACTGAGCGAGCAACGACATATGTACATGTACGCCCTCCGCGATCTTGAGTGCACGAACGTCCTCGTTCAAACGCCCTCCAGGGGAAGCTAACCGCGTACGTGTACATATGTTGCTGGCCTCTGACCAACCTCCGAGCGCCTGGTGCCAACCCCTCCTATCACCACATCCGCCACCCTGGCTCCCGCACACGGTGGAGAGCCCTCGGGCCCCCGACGTCCCCAGAGCACGAGCCGACGGCATCGCCGAGGGCCGCGGGCACCAGACGCTCTCGGGAGCACTTCTGTAGGGAGCCCACAGAGGACGTACGCGCCCAGCTATGTACATGAACACGGCCCCTCGATTCGCGAGACCGGCCGCGTGATACGAACACTTGTGCAACGCGTGCTCTCGAAACCAGCGTGGATTCATGTACATGTACGTCCTTCTTTCGCTCCTGATTCTGGGGGCGGCAGAATTTTTTAGTCAGCGGCCGCGGGCGAGCGCGCTGGCGGCGAGTCAGGTCAGAGCGGGCTACGCAGAGACTCATTCGGCTGAGGCAGCGCGAGAAAACAAAAGCAGAGGCAGCGCGCGAGGCAGCAGCTGCGCGCGGGCCGAGGCCTCACGCAGCGGCCCGGCAGGTGGGTGGGGGCGGCAGAAGTGTACCGCGCGACTGCTTCATCGGGCCAGTCCTCGAGCTGCGACGGTCGTCGCACTGCCAGGAGCGAAGGGGCCCTTCTGGCCCCCTGCGCGCCCCGGCCACGAGCCGGCTCCACGACCTGCGGCCCGAAAGCCAGAAGCCCCTCCGGAACCCAAAGAAAGTAGCCCGGGGGGGGGGGGCGCAGGGGCCGCCTCGGCCACCGAGGCAGTGGGGCCCTCGCGGCCCTGGAGGGCTGCAGGAAGGAGGAGGAGGGGGAGGAGGGAGGGGGGAGGGCAAGCCAGGTGCGCTCGCGTCATGTCTGACGTCATACCCCTCCCTCCCATCCCTTACCATGGCGTTGATTTTCTCTATCCGCGGACGCGTGTCGTAGCGGACCTGTGGCTCCGCGCGCGCGTGCGTAGTGGGTGGTGGTGCACGTGCGTGCGTGCGTGCGTGTGTGCGTGGTTGTCGTGGTGGTGGTGGTGGTGGTGGTGGTGGTGGTGGTGGGGGTGGTGGTGGTGGTGGTGGTGGTGGTGGTGGTGGTGGTGGTGGTGGTGGTGGTGGTGGTGGTGGTGGTGGTGGTGGTGGTGGTGGTGGTGGTGGTGGTGGTGGTGGTGGTGGCGGTGCGGCGCGGTGGTGGCGGGCGGATGGGCGCGCGAGAAGAAGGCCCGCGCTGGGGCGAGAACGCCATCCTGAACGACGGAGGCCAAACACCGATCCGAAAATGAGGCCCACGCTGCAGCGGGAGCACGATTCGGAACGATTCGGGAGCAGAAATGAGGTCGGCGCCTCAGCGAGAGCAACATTTTGAAAAAAACGCAGGCGAAAACCCGTTTCCCGGGAATCCTGTGTAAAAAAAACAGTACGCGGGGGGGGTCGGCCATCTTCGGGATGCCATCAGGGGAAGTGGGAGAGTATTTTCATATTGTGTAATTGT